AACGAAAACGGCACTAAAATTATGTTCTGTAATTCATAAACAGTGGAGTTGTGTTTAAATAAAACTTTAAACACAAAACTAAATTTAAAAGAAGAGAATATGCTCAAGTTAAGTGCGTTGCTTTACTTCTAAACAATATTATTAGAACTTTCTTCTTTAAAAAAACATGTTATTTCATTTTCAAAATAAACCAATAATGATTTTTTTTTATCGTAAATCGTAATAATTATTACAGTATAATATTAACTTGAATACTTAGTATTCTTGCCAGATTTTAGCTGTAGGTAGTATATTTTTTTATGATATTTGAACCACGGGAGCTGAAAATATAAATTATAATTTTTTTATGCCACCCAAAAAAGATGAAACTTAATAACCTAAAAATAATTTCAGAATTTTTGTTTAGTGAATCACTATAAAATAAAAAGCCTTTAATAAAACAATACTATTTCTTTGTATTTTAATATTGTTACAAAACATTTATTTTAATAGCTTTTCATTATACGGTATTTTGAATCATTTACTCTCTTTCTTTTTTTTTTTTTTTTATGTCGTTTACGATGTAAAACATTTGAAAATAGTATTAATTCGTATTTTGTGATTACAAAATAAATTAAAACGTTGTCCGTATTTTTTCGCCTCAAATTTATGAGCATTTTCATTGAGTAAAAAAAAAAAATCGCGTTTACATAAATCATTAGATAGTATATTGCACATGAAATACCGTGGTTTTTACGAACATAACTGGATAGTTTAATTTCGAAGATAACATCAACATTTAACATACATAGTGAAATCGTAGTTGTTTTTATAAATGGCAATAAAAATCACTATCAGTATAGATAACAATAATATTAATAATATTATTATACGGAAGTCTATTAAAAACAATTAAAATCATATATCAGTGACTGGATATTTATAAAACAAAAAACAATATGTTTTCCTTAAAACCAGTTCTTAAACCACATGCCTTTTCATAGTATGGAGAGGCAAACATCCCACCGCTGAGAGTCCTATTGCTCCCGTAGGCATTAAAGTTACAATTATATTATCTATTCATATTTCTATATAAATATATATATTTTTTTATTATCTACGGTGCAACATTTATGAGGTAAGCTGTATAGTTCATGAATGGAAACTAAATGAAAATTTATTAGAGCTGATAAGGACAAGCTGATGAATAGAAATTGAATGATATGTGTTCTTGAATGGAAATAACACAAATCCTAATGATATGGGACCACTTTTAAATTTATTTAAAATAGAACACGAATATTCTCGAGTTCATGCATTTTCATTTTTTCAATTAACACAAACTGTATATTGTAAACAAGGCCTCTCAATAAGTCCAACTTATTCGCAAAATAATATGAGATCAGACGTCATACGTTTGTTTATTAGTAAATACTAATTAACGATTACAATATAATTTTTAATTTTAATTTTAATAACTTAGTAATAAATAAATCACGTGTACGGAAAATTTATTCCGTAATAAAAATATATACGTATAAGATATTCATATATTTTAGATTTCCGAAGGGGAAACCGAGAAAATGATACAATGCCATCTTTTTATTGTTTTTTTTTTTCAGGGTAGTAAAAATGTTTTTCGAGGTTTTATAATACAGACGTGCATATATTGGTAGTCGCTTTTATCGATTGGACATCGCAAAACACTACGGGATACTATAACCAGTATATAAGATGGGGTACCTATAACTTTGAAGTTGTCACGATTGAAAAATTCACAAAAGATTTTTTTTATTTTTAAAAGTTAGGTATTGATGTTCAATCATTTTCTAAAATTACATAATATAAACGTTATGAGTTTGGAAAGAGAGATACAAAAAAAAAAAAAAAAAAATCTTAAAAATATAATTATATGTATAAAATGAAAACATCAAATATATTTTGACTGAAATCGATGGTATAGGACTATAGGTATTCTGACATTTATAAATTTGTAAATCAAAAAAAAAAATCGTTTTAAATGTTACACGAAAATCAGACATTCATAATATAATGGATTTTTTAGCGTAATATATTATTATACCGCAGTTTCAAATAAAAAGGAAAACTAGTTTAAGTATAAAAGTTCAATATATTTCATTGCAATGTTTATAATATATTTTATTCACCGCGCTCGGTAGTTGGAAATATTTTATAGTATAAATATTGTGAATATTAGGGTGTATCCAGTGTCGGCATGGCACACCAAAGACCCAGCTGGAGGGTTTTTTTTTTTTTATCTATGAAAAAAAAAAACCTATGCAATTCAGTGTGATATCGGGTCGGAAGTCGGTGTCATCGGTCGATAGTATTTTTTTAAAAATAACAACTGATTTCGCGGTGATGCGGCGAAAATTATTATAATTTACAATACATTGTATGCCCATAATAGCGTTTTCAGTGACATTATAATTTTTAGTTTTTTTTTGTATAAATCTACTTGCTCACACAATATTAATAATAAATAAAATTATATTTTATTAATTTTTTACCGCAGTTTGCAATTATCAACTACAATTTTAACAGCACTGTGTATATATTTTAATTTCTGCACAAAAGACAGTCTAAACGAAGAACAGTCAAATGAAGATATTTTATACATCTTGGGGCCTGAGGGACCCTCAGATACACACACGTCTGGGGTCCGCGGACGCGTTCACTACCGGAACAAATGGCATTTCTCGTATGATTTATAGTTTATCAAATTTCAACAAAAAATAAAAACCAGGAAAACTCATTTTCCGGAATAAATGAAGTGTTTCGACGAGAGTGAAAATTCACGAAAAAATCGATTTTTGGGAAAACATTATTTCGAACAATTTATTATATTATATCTATCTTTTTTATTATTATTATTTCCAAAAAAAAATGTAAAATACGACATCAAAAACATTAGAAATTATAAAAGCATCAATGGAAATATAAGTAAAAGTTATACTACAGAAATATTTCTATTTTTTTTTAATTCTCCAATATTCTATTTTTTTTTTCTCGGCACTTTGATCTCATTTTTTTATTTTTCGTTCATATTATGGCAAATACTCATTATGATTTTTGTATGTATTGTATTTTTGACATGTACAAAAAACGAATAATACGAGAAATGGCTTTTTCACATCCTCTTCTACTATGTACGAGTCTCAAAATCTCTCTAAATATTAGAAATAGGTACTAGCATCATCGAAGCTCAAACAAATTCTATTTTTTAAATTTCGTCTGCACCTAAATGATAAGTTTTTAAAATTAAATTTAAGAAATCGGCAAATATATATTTTATCTAAAACTTTTTTACTCTAAATTTATTGTAAGATGCATAGTTAAATCTCAACAACATTGCAGAAAACGAATTTATAACAATTTAATAGCAAGAACAATTTAAAACAAAACTGATACGTTTGATTTTGTATCGGTATCGTATTTCAAACAAAATATTTTACACGGCACTAATCCCAATTATTCAGATTGTGACGAATAAAGAATAAAAAAAAATATAATCAAATTCATAACTGTGTCTAACCGAAATGTGATAGTTGTTCATAAGTAATGTGTTATTTATCTGTGTAATCCACTACGGAATAGTTAGTATAATATGTAATACCGCATAAATCAAAATTCAGTCTCGATTTCTTATGTTTAGTTATAAAGAAAACATACAAATGTGGCAGAGTTATAATTTTTTCATTAATCACGAAAATTAATAAACTCAATACCGGCCCTAATGTATTGTACCATACATACAACTTGTGGGCGGCACAATTTTGTATACAAAAAATATGTTATAATACGGTAGTTATCGATTTGGCGCCTTAAATCAAAAATCAATGAAGTAATTTTGGCGTGAAACCCGAACATTAATAATTTTTTACTATCGGTATTGTTACAAAAATAATTTTCTGATGTGCGCCACATCGATTTTGCATTACTCATATTTATATAGTGAGTACTATATTATTTTACATATTCATACGTTAACGTTTCTCGAAAATGATATAACTAAACTAAAGTGACCATTTTTATTAAAAAAAAAAAAAAAGAGGGATATACATTACTCCCCCCCTCCCCCCCCAAAACAAACCCTTTTATATACAATAATATACATTCACACATATCCACACAACTGTAGAGTGTAAGAATACACACCTGAATCTTATCACAAACAATTATTCTGTTGATTTTTTACTGTTTCTGTTAGAATATTTAGGAATATTTTATTTTTATTATCTATAACACAATGTTTAATTTCAAAAACATTATAATTTTTTAAACAATTAAAAAATGTTCTTTTAAATATTAATATTAAAGTATTATAAATTAAATAATGCATACCAATACTGTCAATTTTTTTTTTTTAACAAGAATTAGGAAAATTACAATATCAGCTTTCTTCATTATTTAAGAATTTGATAATCCTTCCATATTCAAAATTCTTTGAATTCCTCCACTCGGACTGTGTATGTACGAAAATATTGAAATATTTTATTAACTATGGATTGAATGTCGATTGGCAAAATATCCGTACAGATTTGCATTGCGTTATGTAAGACATGAGCCGCACAACCAATGCCTGAAATGTTTGTAGTTAAATTTTCATTGAGAATTGCACAAACATTTTTTATGCCTTTTCTTGCGTCGCCACCGAAATTCGTATTACAATTATCATTCGAAAAAACAACTATTTTATTGAATAGGTTGTATTTTTTTAAAATATTTATTATGTAATTAGTTAAAATTTCCGCGGTTTCACCTTGTAAATTTGTAAATTCGTGATTTGATATATCAACCATAAGTGTTGCAAATTTAGTATTTTTTAACTCTTCTAGAACTTGTTCCATTGCTAAAGGGGCAATTACATTTGAAATAACCAATTCACATTTCGTTCGGGCACAAGACAATTTTTTATCGTGCATTTTTTTATCAGTGAGGACGATCGATCGTCGATCGAAAATAATGATTGTGCATCATAGTATGAAAAGCAAACATACCTTCTGCCGACGTTCGGTCTCGTCCAGATATTTCTTTATTGATGAAATATGGCGCTAATTTATTAGTACTGCTAGACACGGCCAATAAATGTTTACGTTTTTGTAGATGCTGTTTGATATCTGATATCCCACCATGTTCTATTGAGAATATAGATTTACACTCGGTACACAGAACTCTCCCTGTTTCATCAGCATCTCTAAAATTATGAAACTGCGTATTTAATTTTCTATTAAAACTACATCGTCTCTCGGGCATCTTAATTATTATTTTTAATAAACTAATAAAATTTAGGAAAAATATCGATAGGTACACGTCAATTACAAAATACAAAACGACTTCACGGAAAGGTATTCACGGATCGACTGTCAGCAGTGAACACAAAACAGTGTCAACCAAAAACTATTGCCGAATACCGATAAACCCCTATAAAAGACAGAAGAACACGGGCAATGTAAAAACGACAACGAACAATATTTAATCGTAAACGAAGCAACACAATATCTAATAGCATTGACTATAAAATTATAAATAATATTGTATTAAATATAATATTTAAGTTCGTAGATTACGTAGAACGACATATTATGCCATACAATATGTCTCATGCTTATCGCTAATTTTACTTTCGTCGGTATTCTATGTTCGTTCAACGAAAACTGTTATCTGTTATTTATAAATTTGGTTTCAAATTATAGGTACGAGTAAAACTGTTTTATATTTGTTTCACATATCGATATTTTTTTCCACGAACATAATATGGAAATAACGGGATTAAAACGGGACCATCTTCTAAAAACGCGATAAAAAGCGTCCCGTCCGAAGTTTGTCGGGACACCGGGACATGACGACCAAAAAGGGGACAATCCCGTTTTAAACGGGACGTCTGGTCACCCTAAACTAAACCGCATTAGTAATGTTCATATATATTATTTTTTAAATTTTATTCGCGCTAATTAAATGCATCTAGCTATAAAGCAAAAAACGAAAATGAAAATATCGCGGAAATTATATTTCCCGGAACCGAAAAAAAGGGAGACAAATTATCGCTGCGGATAATAGTGATTTTTTCCTCGTTTGTTGTTCTTATATATAAAAAAAAAAAACCGACCAAGTGGCAAGTATAATAGTATATTAATGTATTCTATAATGATAAACGGATGAGACGCGTTGAAACAGTATACTTCTTTGTTTGGAATACCGGTAACGTAAAAATCCTATTGGTCTGCATAAACAGTATAAACAATAATAGTACCGCCCACCGTTTTGTTCATCTCCGCGATGATAGGTAACAGGTAAACAGGTCTGTTCGATTATTTTTGGTTATATGCATGTATGATGAGCAGCGCTGTCGGCGAAACGATTTAAAGTAGGGTCGAAATAAGTCAATGAATGATTTTAAATAGTTACTTTTAGTAACTTTTTATTTATATTTATGTATACACATACCTATAATCTATATATTTTTAGCAAGCCGCTATTTTATACTTAGTTAATAATTTAAAATGGTTGAAAACGATACGTTAACAGCGTACTAAATTATAAAACATACAGTGCAAATAATAAAAAAAAAAAAAAACATTTAATATTAAACTATTAACTTAACATTTTGATAATGAACTATATGAAATAGATATGTGTTAAATATAAACGATATCAATACAATGAATTACCTAATATGATATTGGGAGCAATATGAACTGTCCCGTTTAGGTGACTGATGAAATTATACAAAACTTGGCAAAATTGTCTCTATTATCTCAGTGTGTGGATAAAAATGTTGTTAAAAAAAAAGTTTTACTATGCTAGTGCCACAAATTAAGACGACATTTATCAAACATTTTTTAAACTGAAAATAGTAAGTTACTTATTCAAAGTAATGTATTAAAAAAGTGATTGCAGACTGACAACGCTGGATAAGTTGCTCTGGTTTTCCAAAATAGACCGCGACCGCGCTCCGGTTAAATGACCGGTTGGTCACCTATTGCCACCGGATGCCTGTACACCCCGTAATTAGGTGGATAATGTCCTTCGCCGCAATCCAGTTACACGTAGATGATAATTTAATATCCTTACGGACGCAATTCTAAAATATTATTTGTGAGCCAATCACAAGGGCTGGTTTCGTTTCCTCACGAACCACGAACTCTGAACACCGAAGATGCTTGAAATTTTGTTGCCTGTCAAAAGACTCATCGATCGCGTATTGACGACGAACTACGGTATACATTGGCATATTTGAGGGAATGGGATTAATATCGTCAACCTCTTCCCTTTGGAAAGCTATTTTTTTTTTTTTTTTAAACGAATAAGAAATTAATTTAACTATTAACAACTCTACAATTACAAATTTCGCTCCGATAATCAAAACCAGTTACAGGTTTTTGGTAGACAATTTTGTTTAGTTGATGAAGTAGATTGGTATTTTTACTTCTTTGAATAATTACAAAAAACCCGGAAAAAATTGGGAAAATGAGGATATTTACAGAACAACAGTTTCTGTTAAAATCTATTTATTTTGTTTTATTTTATTAGTTGATGCATACAAAGGTGGTTTTATTTGATTTTCCAAGTTATTTTCATAATAATAGAAAACAACCATCAAAAGAAATTTACCTAATTTTGTTAGGTATATTATATAGATATACTTATTGTTAGACCAAAATTATACGAAATTGTTATTGGCACAGATAATTTTGGTAGTGAAAAAAATATCATGAAGTTTAAAACTATTTAGGCGGCAAAACACTCGTGAATAAGAAAAAAATGTATGTTTTAAAGTTTTGTGTTGAAACATAAATTCAAAAAACAAAAACTAAAAGAGTTCATAAAAAAAAAAAATTATCGAAATAAGCAGAAAAAAAGGATTTTCAAATTTCATCTTAGAACTCTTGAATCTTGTTTTTAAACTACACTCATGAATATTTATTGTCTCATGCCTAACGAGGATCGACGTGGCATAGATATATTAAGATAATAAACATAAACAAATATATACGTGACGCATAATGGAGTAGAAAAGCAAAATTGTTTACAATTGTACGGGGAAAAAAATCTGGGTTTTCGTCATTCGCTTACTTAATCGAAACGTAGGAAATATGACAAAATGACTAGTTGAAGAACATTTTTTTAACCACCCATCATAATGTGTAGAATAAAAGCTAATACCATAAGTCCCGAACCGTGAATTAATATACTAATATAGAAGCTGTATAACAATTTACGAGTAAAGACCTTCTATTTGAATCAGTCGAACACTCGGCTATATAAATTCCCTGTCTGGCTACAGTATTATGCATATAAAACTATTATCTAGGTAGGTATATAATAATACTATTATGTTCTAATGGTTTTGGTAAACACGCGCGCGCGCGCGCGCGCGTACATAATATAATATTAAATACACTATAATATGAAGTTTGGTATTATTATTCAATAATGCAGAGTATGCCCCAAGGGCTTAACCATGTCGCACTAAAATCTAAGTATAACACAAACTATATTATATAAAATAGTGTAGGTCCCTATTTACATTATATAAAATATCAAATCCTACGCGGCGATTCAAACAGAAATAAAAATATGAAACTTGGCCGAATTTCGTATTGGATGGATATAAATTAGATGCAGAACAGCGTATCAATGAAAATGTTCAAAAGGGGGGGGGCAATAAATAAATAATATACCGAATCGAAAATATATATTTCGATAAATTAACGTATATATTAATAAAAAAAATGTATACGTCACATAAATTATCAACAATTTTGCACTTTTTAATGTGATGCAATGAATGTGTTAATAAAATTAGAACATTTTTATAAACCGAAAAAAAAAAATTACTGCACTCGGATATATAATAATTGTTAATTTATTAGTTTGTATTTTCTATAATATTTCAAGTATATGTGTTGCATATTTTAGTTGCCAACTATATTATTTATCATAAAAGACGCCGTTTATCTAGTAACTAGTACCTAGTAGTAGTCTTTATATACTGTACCGAAGAAAAAAAGAACAGATATACTTCGTACGTGGGTTCAGTCACTGTTGTACGTAGGAAGTTGGAAATTTAGGATACAAGCGGTAAATTAATGTATATCTGTAAGCAACGATAAACCATTGATAACGAAAAAACAATTCTGAGCGGAGTTCAGTTGATAGTGTTGTTTTGTCAACAATACAATATATAGTATATATCATATTATGGTAAAATGATTGCAATGTACGTTTCCATGACTACAATGATTTTTTAAAAAATATTAAAACAATAATAATAAAAAATAAAAAATAACGGTTGCCAATGACAACCTTAGTTTTAATCGTTCAATCTTTTTTAACCTGAAAATTGAGGTTTCCTCATTATTTCGAAAATTACTGAGAATTTCAAAAAATGACCTCTTTAAATTACACCCAGAGAATATTTCTTTTCAGAAAAGGTGCTATACCTGATAATCGGAATATATCTTCCTGGAAGAAAAAGTGTTCACATAAAAAAATAAAAATTTTTTTTACAAATTGAAAAAATAAATTTCGATAATATTCAGGTATTTTTTGTTTCAAATATCTCTAAAACTCTAACATAATTTGTACAAAAAATGTTTACATGTGATAACCTTGTGATAAATATTATAGCCTTGTTTTAGACGTAGTTGTTCTCAAACAGGTTTTAATCATCACCGATTTCTCAAGATGCATACTTGGGCAACACCTTAACCTCAAATTACACGCCATTGCCACCCTGAATGCAGTCATGCACTGAGTTTATTTTTAGGAAGAGTTTTATATCGCCGACAAAAATTAGAAATTTAGCATGAGAAAGTACTGTAGGCGCTAAGCTAACGAAAAAGAGAAAAAGAAGTGAAGACAGAACCGCGCAATGCGGGACACCAGATAAGAGAATAAACATAGAGGAACGCGAGTTTCGACGTTTACGTAGAGATGACGGTCCACTAAGTAGTAGTGCAGCCAGGATATTGATGGGTCACCGGTTTTGATTTTGTCTCTTAAATAGGGATATCGTATTATCATAAATGGGACTCAAACGCATATCGTACCCTCTTATATATTGTTTAAATTTTATACAAACATTATTATGGTAATATATAAGTACACAGTCAACGATTAATCACCACGCAATGACACGGATCATATAATATTAGGTTCAATGGCGAAGGGTATGTTCAAGTGTATAGTGAACGTTTAACACATACTGTGTTATACCGTGGCCCCGAAGATATATCCGTTGTAATATCCCCGGAGATGATAAAGGTAATTAAATTTTGTTTTTATTATGTATACATGTTACCGGCAATATTGACATTTCAGAGAACGATCACAATTCGTAGGATATGATGAAAATGCCAAAATACCTTAGGCAATAATATTTTAGTTGACTTTTGACGAAATTTCCGTAGTTTATTAGGTAATGTTATTGATATATAGCTTTGTGATTTCCAGCATTCTTTAGTCTGTAATGATAAAAGTTCACGTACTCACTGTTTATATTTATAAGTACAGAATTTGCGTATAACTATCGCAATTATAATTATAACAATACAGTTCGTTTAGTATTGTGTAATTCTTAGTACAACGTATTTGATATTACAATAAAAATGGATTTAAGTAAAATGACGAAAAATTGAATGACTCAATTTCATTAATTATCGGTAAAAAACGTGATGACAACAAATGGTTCATGAACAACGAAGAATATGATCGTCGCGTGGAAGATGTAAATGTAATTTTATTATTTCTGTAACCAAACACAGGTTAATTTAATATATATATATTTTTGTTTTTTATGAATTGTTGATACTGAAAGTGGACATCTTGTACACATGTACAAGAGATCAGAAATAAATCCTTGTAAAACAAATTTACTAGATCTAACTACAGTTTTAGAATCAGCAGGTCAAAAACCTGTATAACTTTGGGGAACAGTTACTACAAATGGTATTTCAGGGACGCAGTGCTATACTCAATGTCACTGCAAAACAAAATGCAAGACAAATCGGTGCACTTGTAGATCAACATTCAAGATTTGTAATTCTAAATGTTATGAAAATTTGTCATACAAAAATAAAAATGAAGTAGATAAAATTAGTAAAAATTAATAAATATATAAATATAAAATGAATATGTAATTTTACTATGAATATATATCATTTCCTGATTGTCAACATTTCCAGTAACATTTTTTTATGTTTCGTCAAAAAACTAAAAACAATAACTTTGATTTTATTATTTTTGATCAATTTAAAGATTTTCATTTTGATACACCGACTTTTTATTTTCATTGAATTATTAATTTTTAATAATTTCTTAAAGTTCAGAGAAAAGAATCTTTAAACAATTATTAAAAACCACTAATTCAATAAAAATAAAGAGTTAAAACGTCAAAATCTTCAGGAAAAGAATCTCTATAAAATAATTATCATCAAATTTTCGAAAATAATAAAATAAAAGTAATTTTTTTTTACCAAAACATACAAATTTAATTCAAATTCATATATGTAGCTCTTATCACCGTGAGTAATATAAAAAACGGATTTTAATTATCTTTAATATCTCGGGAGATATTGCATTAGGAATATCTTATGTATATTATACTTAGTATAATTAATTCTGTAATATACGGAGTGATTGTGATATGTCGACCGAGCATTTATCTATACGAAGATTACGAGTGAATTTGATGTTGATATTTTTTTTTCAGACGCTATGATAGTATAAAATTGTTTATATCATTCTAACGCACGATATTTTCAACATTTCACCTTTATTCAGTATACATTATATAAAAACACTGCTTCGACTTTTGACTTTCAAGTAATAAAACACATTGTAACTGAGAACGCTGATTGTTGTTAGTTGTTTCGGTTATTTATTGGAATTTGAAACATCGATTTTCGCTCTGCGTAGTTTTTTTACCATATAATACATAACTCGTGTATGGCTATTTCATGTATAACGCTCGTGATTTGTTTAAGTATGGTGTAAATGTACTTTAATATGTACTAAATAACCACGGGTAAGTTGTTTGGCATTTTAAATCGAAATATCAAAATAAACTGGTATTATTAATACACCAGTTGTGAAGCAAAAAACAAATCTAACTCAATGTAATATAATATTATAATTGATGTTAACCTAGCACTCACTACGAGTATCGGCGATAATGAACCTGAATTGGCGGAATCATGTAGCAAAATTGTTATTAATATGATAGGTAATATCGATGTCCGATACTAAAGACTAAGATTAATCATGTTGTAATATTGATGTGACAGTATTGGGTAATATTTATATCTAGATCTATGCAACTATTATTGAAGGTATGAGTACTGATAATTAATAATTTATGAACTACATATAGTTCTAATAAAAAAAAAAAATTGATAATTTACTTTTATGTGTATAAAATATTTACCTAAGCATAATGTACAATATATTATATGCATGTTATACTTGACTTCAAGACTTATTATTTATTAATACGCTTATCCTATAACACAATTTTACAAACAAAATAGAACTTTATCTGCGTCTTATTTTAAAATGTTGACTATCTAGAGTATAACGTCGAAAAAAATGTTATTTATTGCTTTGTTTGCCGCAATTGCACTTCCAGCACCGCATAATATAATGATGATAAATTTATTTTCCGAAAAAGAACGGCACATTTTATTAAAATAAAAGAATGTGGTTTTAATATTTAAAATGTTTCATTTATATGCCAATAACTATAAGTCACGGAATGTGTAGCCATTCACATTTCTTTTTTTCATATTATGAGAAGGGCTTTGAGTTCCCCCAATAAATTTGGACAATTTGCACCTATGCGAATAGGTATCATAATAAAATTTCCATAATAGATTCTTTAAACAATTATTAAGGAAATTGTACATAAAAATATGAACTGGTTGAAAATCGTATAAAACAATATCGTGGTAATAGCCGAACGTATAACGCCCCGTTTATAAATTCTATTCTAATGCCATTTCTAAACAATTAAATTGTTTTTTAAAACGGAATGTGTTGGGTTCAAAACGTTTTAACTACGTATTAAATAATGAAATAATTCACTTTAAATAATAAATAGAATTATGACTTTATCACTGATAACATAGGTAGCACATCGTAACCAATGTTTTTTACAATATTTGATTCCCCTTAAATAATAGGTAAAGTGAATTAAACTCCATTTGCGCATCAATAAACTGCCAGAACACAGTCTTAGAAGAGTGAGATTGTTTTGTGTACTAATTGTTAAATTGGGTGGTTTGTAAGTTATACATAAGCATTGATTATTAAAATATCGAAATCCATATTCTTTCTATTTATCGTTATAATTAGTTAATGACTAGTTATGAGTATGAGTCACTTGAAATTTTTATGTTTCAAACGCTTAAAACGTGAAATTTCACAATGCTTGAAATCACATTCAACGAGCGTGCTAGTTATTTCTGATTTTTAAACGTATTTTAAATCATAAATTATGATATAACATACACAATTTTGAAAGAATTTGATAGCCGAGAATATTACAGATTACAAACCGAAATAAATTAAAAATCTCAGTTTTTAAATAGTTGATGAAACATTTCTTTAAGTACTACTTATATGTTGGTGCGTATGTTTTAATATTGGCAAGTATGAATGTATCTATATGTAATATTGATATTTAAGTAAATAACGATAACTATATAGTTATAATTATATGTTAAATTTATATTTCAATTAATAATAATAATAATAATTTTACGAACAATATATATCATCTTGTCAACCAAATCAACGACCGTGACTAAATATACTTGTTCGTACTATACGGGCATACGGGCCAACAGACACAACGGGGATGTAAATGTTCTAAATTAATGTTTAGAAATCAAACACTGATTTTATTTATGATTTATTTTTGATTTTTCATCAAAAAACGAAATATTTCATAGAAGTTTTATGAAATATTTCAAATAAATAAGTTTCGTGGAATTTTAGAATCTGAGTTATAATATAAAGTAGATAATGTAATAATATACTATAATATGTGATATACTATATGTGATAATATACTATAATGGCAATAATCAAAATAATTTATGTGAACGTTGAGACAGTGTCCTTCGATTGTATGCGTTTACACTCGCCACAACGTTGAACGCGTTATTACCGAGTATCGGCGAGAAAACGCCGAACATTATGTTTAAATAAATCGACTACAGAAGACCACGGTCATAACGCTATACATTTTTTAGCATATTATAACAGTACCAATATAAATGACAAGACAATATAAGGTAAAGGTTTATAATTTATCAAAAAATTGAACTAAGTTAGTTATATTAGTTATTATGATTGTTGATTCATTTTCGACCTGAATAATATAGCCAACCGTAAAAGGTAATCGTTCATATAAAATATATTATTATTAAACACCCGTTTACGGAATACATTTAAATATCTATTTTATCGAGCGTAATGTCATGGAATTTGACCACTGGAAAATCGAGAATTTGTGTGGCTAAATTGAAGTAGTGATGGCTTGTGTTTAAGACGAAAGGTATGCCGCGAACAAATACTTTGAGTACTTTGACCATCATTTTGTTTGGTTTCGTTAAGTTAATATGATTATTATAAGGTATGAACTATTGTCAAAATTACAAACTATAAAAAATAGTATGAAAATTAATAATATTGCCCAGATCGTCAATCAAAAATAATCAACGTATATAAATTATTAAGTACCTTGTTTTTAGATTAAAAAAAAAATATTATAGAATATTTCTCCGAGGAAGCCATTCCTGCCCACGCCACTTAAAAGGTATAGTCACATTTACAAATATTGATTTTAAAACACAGTAGAAACTCGATTTACCGTTACTCTCTGTTATCCGTCATCGGTCACCGTCGAAAAAAAAAATAGTTAATGATGTCATTGCGATAAACTCGTCACGGCGACTATCAAGCGTATAAAAATAGTTTGTAATATCCAAAATGCAATAAACGCGATAAACGCGGCGACAATGATAATTGAATTGTTTTAAATTTAATTTAACCAGTGACTGGTGAGCAGTCTGTGTGTGAGGATTAGTGTTTTTGTAGTTTATGTGTTGTGTTTCGAAGATAACAGAAAAGAGGAAACGTGTTATTTCAGAATCTAATTAAAAACTCAAAATTATCAAACGTTTGATGAATGGTGTAGCTGCTATCAATATTGCTCAGATTTATGGTATTGGGAGAACGACAGTGAATGACATAAAACGTGATACTGAACACGTTTAGCAGCTTGTGTTGTTAAGCAAAGCAACGATGGAGATGTAAGAAGTCGTAAAACCATGAAACTGGCAAAATAAAACTAAGCAACTTTACAACGTTACACGTTATGTATCAGTGGTTTATTCAATTCTTTTAGGTCTGATTATAATGACCAAGGCAAGTGAAATAAATAAAAAAAATAGATGGTGATAAAAACTTCAAAACAAGTATGAGATGGTTTGATAAGTTTAAATTTCGTCACGGCATTGGACAACTTAGACATTAGTGGAGAGAAACTTAGTGCGAATAGCGTAGTTATTGCTGAATTTAAGGAACAATTCAAATTAAAAATACAATCTGATTTTAAACTTGTTAGAGAACAAGTTTATAACTAAAATGAAACAGGACTCAATTGGAAAGCTTACCACAAAAAAGACTGGCATAATTTTAGGAAAAAACAGCCCTAGGTTTTAAAGTTCAAAAAAATCGGACCACTACAATGGTCTATGCAAATGCAACTGGCAATCATAGATTAACTTTGCTGATGATTGGAAAAATCAAAAATCTACGTGCATTTAACGTAGAAGAAATTGTACAATTTTGTAATGGACTGAACAGTGAAATATTATCAACGAAAAGTAAGAGATTGGTGAGAAAATGATAAACAAGATGGAAGATTTGAAATTTTGAATGATGATCAAATTATCTATTATGTCACTACCGTTAAAGAAGAAGTTGAAAACGACATTGAAGATTCAATGCTTGACTTAAAACCGCCAACTAGCCACTCAGAATCAGAAGCAATTTTATCAAAATGCATTGATTGGATTGAAGTTCGAGAGAAGGCAAATGCAACGCAGATCTGACTTCTTCGTAAAATACAACACATGGCCTCTCAAAAAGTTCGTGCCTCAAAAAAAAAAACAGAAGAAAATGACGGATTATTTTATTTAGTATTTTTGAGTATAGTATTACATATTTTTGTTATTATATATTATTAGTATTTATTATTTATTGCATATTATTTTTGTCAGCAAATCACGTTGTAAAATATATACGTTTATTTAAAAATATCTATAAACCGTCTATTCGATTAACCATCATAGTTCCGATCCTTACAGTGACAGTTAATTGAGTTTCTATTGTAATATAGTCACTCAAATTAGGTTTTTTTAGGTTTTTGAATGCAATTGAAAAACTATAATAATTCTGAGATAACTTAAAATTATTCTCTCCTATTGAACCATCTATAGAGCTGATGATTGAAGTAAAGATTTTGGTAAAGAAATTGTTTGAATATAGAAAAAAAAACCCATACATCGTAGAGAAAACTAATAAGTATATTTTTCACTAGTCACTTCACTTCCAACCTAAAAAGAAAAATGTAAATGATTTTCAAGAATTATAAGCTACAATAATAATTATTATGATTTCATTTGTAATCATCTAATATTATTAGAACAATAATTTCCCTACACATAAATCACATTCACGTTTTTATTTATCAATTGAAGTTTTTAAAGCACAAAGCAAAACCAAAGTCGAGACATAATTCATTTCGTATAATATTATTTTAAATTTTGATATATTTTTGTTAGTATAAATATGATTTATAATACAATATGAACGTAGTAATATCCATCGGTGAATAATTTATAGATTCTTGGGATACTTGAAATAAACAAAGTATAAACTTAGGAATTAAGTTTTGATATTGCAAAACCATCACTGCTGCAGTGTTGTTATCTCAGCCGAAAAATCATCATAATAATTGAATTATGCGTGAACGGAAATTACATATTTCATATTAGTAAGATATGCTTATTTCAAAGTTCACTTATTTAGTCTATGAATAGGTAGGTATATTACACACATTCAACTTTCAGTAAATTCCAGGACGAATTAATTTAGTTGAAATATTGGATTATATGATTATTATTATTATCAAAAATTTTATTTACAGAAAGTCTAATTGATACTTTTGTAAGCTTAAAACAAACATGTAAAATTATATTCGTAGCAAAATATTTATTGGGTCAACTATAATATATAAATTTCTTTTAGATTCCAAGCATAGCGAGGTGAGTTATTGGTTTTGCAATACTGTTTATTACTTATTTTTCTTCTTTGTACTTTGTTCTATGTCTGTGGACACGGTTTTTCCTAGTAAACTTCCTAGAGAGGTTATTTTTTGATTTTCGGAAATTACGGGATTTCAAATTATGTGTAACCTAACTGCGCTCGGAATCGCTTTTCGTCAAGCAATAGTTTATCGTTGCTTACAGATATAAATGAAATAATCGTATGTATCCTATCTTCCCAACTTCTCATCTACAACAGTAGCCGCTCCCATCCCCAGTATTAGCTTTTTTTTAAATTGTTTTGTCTGTGAACAGAATAAATAACTTTTCACCAGAAATCTGACCCAAATCATCAACTTTCCGGAAATGTATGTTATTGTACAATTGTACATAACCTTATGTTAATAAATAGCAAGGGAAGATAATCGAAATTGCTTCACAATACTACATAATTGTATGTAACTATTTGTATTAAATACATCTATCTCATTGTCAAAAACTATCTCTAGTAAGATGCTAAGGAAATTCGTATAGTCAAAAGTGAGTTTAAAAGTTTGGATGGGTTTAGAAAAGTTGATTTTTCTGTTTTTCAGTGATAAACTTGTTCGAATTTTTGGTTATAATCTATCATTATCATTTTGAGAACAGAATTTGGAAACATTCATTAATTTCAGATTTTACTGAATTCTTATAAACCTTTCGTAAATCTTCAAATATTTGTTAATTATGCATTCTATAACCAGATATCGATTTGCAACATCGCGATGATTTTAAAATTGTATAATATTTTATTAAAATTGATTTTTGTAAATGGTTTTAAATTCGGAGGGGAGAGGAACTGATATAATCTATACGGGGAATAAACTCAACTCGTTATATTAATCGTGGTTATGTTTTATTTGAACTGATTGTGATATTATTTTATGTCTTTTGACAAATTGAAATGTTACCATACTACGGATATACCAAAAAAAAAACTTTCCCTTAAATTCTTACTGCGTGTTCCCGCGATGCCATTAACACACATTTTCGTCACCGAATAAATTAACGTCAATTCGAAATTAATTTTATAATCAATCTACTGTGTTGTCGTAATCGCGTACGTTTCTATACATACATAATATTATTGCAGGGCGTGAACATTGTATTATCGTTCGAGTACGAGTGCACACGTCTTGTTGACAGGACATCGTAAACGATTATTATTATTATTATTATTATTATAGAATAGGCGAATATATTATTAATATTTAATATAATACCGTGCTGAGCATCGAAACGAAATTAAAGATAAGAACATTTTGTAAATCGAGAAAATTAACTACCCGAGAGTTATTCATTTTTATCGCGTATAAAACTTCAAGTACCTATTTCAATGAGTTTTTGACACGCTTTTTTGAACACGTCGTAAATATATACACACGTTGTATAAGTTGGTTATAACGCGAGCATAACATCGCTGTACATTTTTGCTGTTAAAGCAGATTTCTTTTAAGAAACCATTACATACTATAATTATTATTACCTATTGCGGTGAATTTATTATACTTAATTTTTAAATTATAATTACAAGACATACGGCACGGGGTTCTTCATTTAGTTACCTTATCAACTATAATTCCAATTCAGTGATATTATTTTCATCTAATCTTGCACTACGAAGGCAATATTAATACCACTGTCTATAGAAGGAATTGATCCGGGATAAGATAACCGAGAAGAGGTGGAGGAGTGATTTTGAAAATTCCTATGAGGTACAAGAGGAATTCACTAAAAAAAAAGAAGCAAATTGAAAGAAGGTAGGAAAATCGTTGACATTGCCCACTCCAGAATCCGCCGATTTTGTGTAACCCAATAAATGGTAAATGATCTTGAATAGGTACCCATCATAAAATAATATCTAAGGTTAGGTTAGGTTGTGCCAAAAAATTTAGTAACCGTAATGTCGCCGTATGGTGGGTGGGTTGGTGGAGGGGGTGGAGTTATGAAAGCTATTTCACGCCTGGATTCCAAAAGAAAAAAGCAGTCTCAGCTATTCTTAAAAAAAACCTAAATTATGAATCTACAATTTGAGAACAAATGATAGATAAAATAATCGAGTTTAAATTACATAATAATTATCAAGAGTCCGTTTTAATATTATATGTACTTTTTATTATATGCACCTCTCCTCGATAAACGTATAGTGACGCACCAGAATGATTACGATTAACCGTACAAATACAGCTGTTTTTTTTTTTTACTGTTAAATTAGAGTTTTCAGATGGGAGCTTTGCCTGGACCATTAATTTCATTAATTTAACCATAGTGGTGAGTAAATTATAAACAAATAAATAAATATAATTTATAATGAGACATAACAAAGTGTTAGACAAAAATTCACCCGTCCGACTCGATGTTTATTTGCCTACGTTCAATAATTTTTACTACAGTCAAAGTTTTTAATTGGAATAATTTACCATCATAAAAAAATGTAAATTAAATTCACTCTTTTTCGTATTTCGTCGGCCGAATTCGTAAATGTCGTAACTCCAAAATGGCAACTTATTCGGAGAATCGAAAAACGTCCAAGTCCAAGATTATTTGTTTAACAGTTTACAAATATGATGGTAAAATTCATATATTTATCAGATAATATTTACCACTAGTTATGGAAACTATTTTATTTATTTCCCTATGCCATCAAACAGATGGGCTCATTCCGTCAATCAACTTAACAGCTGATTTCAAGGAATAAAATTGTCCGATCGGAGTGGAAATGGTCACAAACGATGCATACATTTTTTTTCATAATAAAAAGCAATGATTTTAAAAATTACATTTTTGGAGTTAGGACATTAGGCCGATGATACCTTCCCAGCTTTCAAAAAACAACAGCAAATTCTCCGTGGAACAATATATGCCTGTTTGTTTTTTTTTTTTTAAACTCAAATGCATTTTAGGACATAAATTGTCCATAATGAATAATAATTGATGGCTTTTACTTATTAGTTTATAGGGGGGGGAGGGAAATAAAAATATTAAATATAATAGATACTTACGTTTCTCTTTAAATAGCATATACAAAACAGAGTTTATTTAATTTAATTCTCGTTAATTTTCGATGCGTGTAATACTATTTTTGATGTAATAAAAGTACACTCGCTCAGCAGCTTATAATTTAATTGGAAATTTGATTAGGGACGTGAAAAATATTTTTCATTATTTTTTTACGATCTTGTAAGCAGTTATAAAAAAAAATAAACACTATTTACGTAATATCGTCATATAATTATTTTTCCAAGTTTTTTTTTGTATTGTAAATAATTATAAAGACTTGCCATTTTAAATTAATAATTTAATGAACGTCGTTATGATTTTTATTCTTATTAATTTAGGGTCCAAAACTATATGACCTACGAATAATTTAAAAATTATTATTCTTACAAAATTTATGAAATGTTTTAAAAACAAAAATCAAAACTATATTAAAAATGTTTACTTTACCGTTTAAATTATTAAATATTGCATTAGAGTACGAAATGAATAAATAATTAAATAGTATATATAATAATATAATAACTAGTAATATACAATAGTTTTTTTTTTTTTACACATACAAATGTCGATTTTTTCAATACACAAAAGGCACACAATTTCTTAAAAATTCCAACCAAAAACTGTACCAAAATCTTCTACATGCCAAGAGACAACAAATTTCTGTAGATATATGAGTAATAGGGTAAAAACTAACAAAAGACAGCCACTGTGTAATGGGTGGACCGATGTATAATAGATGAGAATTTGTTAAGGTAGAATAAAGAAGGGAATTTAATTTATGTCTGTACGTAATGATAAACTATTGCTAACGAAAAACAATTGGGAGCGAATTTTTTTTTGACCCTTGCATTTTCTTGTTTTTTCAACGTTTTTCCCTATTTTGTTTAGTTATTCTCAAAACTGCTTGGAAAATAAAAAAATGACCTTTTTAAAATAACCTCCAGAAAAAAATTTCCTTTCAGAAAAAGTGCTACACTTGATAAAAGTTGTGCACGGAACGAAAAAAAACCATCATTGTAAAACCAACAGATTCCTCACATCACTCTAAATCTAAAATGCAAACTGCCGAACTTCCGGTCGTTATTATTATTTTTTTTAGATTTTCAGTATAGTGAAAAAAATATATTAGTCAACAAAACGTCTTTTTACAAATAAAAATACTTTGCAAATATTTATATCAAACCTTAAAATATGGATATTTTTTCCGGTGATACTTTATTTAATCAAATTTATAGATTCCTAATAGTTTTAGAGCGGAGCTAAGAAGCCTATAGTTTTACAAAGATATTTATTTTATTTTTATTTTTTTCCTGTGCACAATTTTTCTACCAGCGATATGTCAATTCCTTCATATTTCTTTTAAATTTTCCATTTACTTCCATTTATTTGCGATCTTCATTGGCTTAAACACTGTGAAAAGTACAACCTATGTTTTTTTAAATATTTATGTAATAACAAATTTGGAAAATTTAAAATATTATTTGTTTTTGTATTCGTAAAGACGAACAAAAAATGTTGATTACTAGTCAATTCCGTTTACTTCGGTATAAAATTGCATTATATTTGTATTAACGTTCATTTAATACACTCACCAGAATAGCCAATTTGACACGGTAAATAGTAAAATTTTAAATTAAATTCCACTAGTTAAGTTGACACTTACTCGATCTGAAATCAAAAAAAAAAAAAAATCATAGAATAATTTAAAATCATTGTTATCTTCGTTGACACCTTTCCCCAAGGTGGAATATTAGACTTCCACCTATTCATGCATGTCGTAGTGACAAAACAATTTGTCAAGCATAATTTAATGTCTTAAATGATTGAATCGGATGCGCATGATGAGTGGTAAGAGTAAATAATAATTTGTATTACCATACATGGAGTAGATTTTTAATTTAAAAAAAAAACAATATATAATGTAAAAAATGTATAAATTCGTAACGTCAAAATAGTTTTTAAAAACAATTAACTATTTAAACATTGTTTTGTTCATTTGAAATTCTTGAGTATTAAATTTAAAATTTTTCTTAAATGATTTTGAATAGAACCAAACATTTATTTTATTTTATTTCCAACATTTGTATTTTTCAATTTTTACGATTTTTAAGAACTCTGAACGTTTTGAAAAATTGCCTTTTCCAATTTCAATGATTTATATAAAGAGACGAGACAGTAGATCGTTTATACTACTCCAAAAAGCACTAGTCATAAGTGAAAAGAAAAAAAATCTATGTCAACGAGGCAAGTCCACTTACCCTAATG